GGCGACAGGGCCCGCGGGCGCAAGGGCCGCCCGCCCCCAGCGGACGCAGCACCTGCTCAGCGCCCGCCCTCCCGCCGCCGCGCCTCTGCTGGGGCGCCGGGACCCGGGCCGAGGAAGCGGGGTGGGGGCGGCGATCTGCACGCGCTCAGGGGCAACCCGGAGGCCCGCACCGCTGCCGCTGGCACCCCTCCGGGGTCGCTTACGTGCACAGAGCGCCTGGGCGCCCCCACACACCCGGGGGGGTCGTTCTGCTTTTCCGCAGCCCGCCCCTCCTTTGCTTCCTCGCTCCTCCATCGACCTGCCCCATTTTTCCAAAAGTTGTGAGGCGGATAGGCAGCAACTACACGGCTGTTGAGAGAAGGCACGTTTAGACTCTCTGGGAATCCAACTGTGCCGCCAGATCTGGGACCACCCCCGTTCCGCACCGCTCCCCCCCCCGCTCCCCGTTTCGGTCCCAGCAGCAGCATTTGCGCAGAGCCGACTGAGTCTGTCACGTTCCTCAGTGGCCGTGAAAGCTGCCTCCGGTTCGGTTCTCTGGCAAGCAACGTGTCAGCAGGTATCCTGTAAAGCCCCAGGTGGAAACTTGACAGGTCCCTCTGCAGAAGATAGATTTTGACTCCTCTCTGTTCACCCTCTGTGAGAATTGTTTCTTTTTCCTTTGGAATTCTAATCCACCGATCAACTAAAGCAATCCGCTGACGGGCTCTCTATTTGTTTAGTGCACACTTTAAACTACGGAATTTTCTTACTCCTCTGGACCCACTGTATTGCTCAATCCATAGCACTTGATCAAATGCAGTGGAACACCATCAATAAAAATATAAAAGTACATTATTATGGCTTTAATAAATGATAAAAACAGCCGTGTGACAAGCAGCTGTTCCTTAAGGAAACCTAGTCATCTCCTCTGATTGGAAAATATTCCACTCTGATAAAAAACAAGCACCAGTGATTGCTGGCCCAAGTGTCTCTTTGATGTTGAGCCACTTTTCAAGCCGGGGCAATTTATGGCTTCCTCAGAGCAGCCCAAGGCCAGTGTGACACAACAGCTTTTGATTTATTCTCAGCAATAATGTGGGTGCCCAGGAAGCTGCCGGGCCCACTCCTTTTTCACCAGCTCTGGATGCTGGGTAAGGCTCAGCTCCAAAGTGGTGCAGTGGAACATGGGAGAGCCGAGTGCCTCGGTCCTCAGCCGGTGTGGCGAGGCCCGGGCCTGGGCCTGGGTGATCTGGGTTCCAGCGCCTGCTCAGCTACGGGCCAGCTGGGTGACTTTGGGCCAGTCACAGACTCAGCCCAATGCACGTCACCAGGTTCTTCTTGTGGGGAGAAGGCTGAAAGCAGTCTCCGAGTTTGGTGTAAGGAAAAGGGGATGCAAATCTCCTCCTCCTTGACTTGGTCCCGTTCTCTTTTAAAAGCACCCAAATTGGTCGCCATCACGACATCTTGTGCAAGTGGATCCCAGAAGTCTAACGTATGCCCGTTGCGCACATCAGTAGCTCCCCCTTCACCGGCCCTGCTAGGCTCTGGTCCCAGCACTCCGCTCTCCACTTCCTCCTCACCGGGCAGAACTACATTCCCCTCACTTGCCTTTTCTGTACGCAAAAACATTCAGCAGTTGCCACCGTTCCTGGCGTGGGATGACTCCCGCCTCGGATCATTTCAGCTACCCTCTTCTGCACTTTCTCCAGCCTGACAGAGTCAAATCTCTCTGTTTCGATTTTTAATGGGGCCTTATTTTGGAGGATTAGGAATTCCCAGATCGTCCCATTTCAAGTTTGTTTGCTCGTTTTTTTAAACAACACGGACAGTCAAGACCAGGAGCCGGTTTCCAAAATGTTGGCTTGCTGCCTTGTGGGAAGAGGATGAGGAAGGAAAACAGAGCTTCCTTCCGGAATTACAGTGTTCCCATGCCAAGAGAGCTGGCTAGCTCTTCCACAATAGAATTCCCAACAAGACCGGTGCTTCCTCTGTCTTCCCATTTGCTGAGGCGCAGATGGCCGCTTGTTGTAGTGGTTGCCATGGCTCAGAGCGGCCTCCTTCTGATGAAGGGCCTCAGGAAGCTCCCTCCAAGCCCCTGGATCAGGCTGACTGGGCCCGGCTGGAGCCCCACAGTGGCTGCACAGCGGTGAGGGAAGGCTACCTGTCCACCCCAGGCAGCACCAAGCGCTCGCTTGCATTTTGGAGGCAAAACCAGCACATTCGTCTTTGTAACAGACAGGCTGGTGAATTCTGCATGATCTTCAACTGTGGGAGGAAGGAAGTGTCTTGCAAATGCCTGGTCCTCATGTCTGGGGAATCGAAACAGTCATTCCCCCCACCCCTTTTCTCTGTTACATCAACACGGCTGGCTTGCTGCTCATTATCTTTTGGGCAAAACTAGGGAAGGAAGAGATTGCAGAGTCTGGGCTTCCAGATCAATTCAGAGCCCCTTGAAAGAACTTCACTGCTTTTTGCAAGTTACAAGGGCAGCTTGTTTAGATGGGAAAAAAGACCTGTTAATGCCCAGCGTTCCTCACTGGTCAAAGATGGCACCAAAAATTACACCTGGCCAACCCCGAGGTGCTCCACAGCTCCAAGTGGCCGTCCTGAGACTCTTTGGCCATGGATGGTGCAGAAAAGTCTGAAGATCTGAAGCCCCGAACATCTGGAGGGCGGGAAGCTGCCCTGGATCATATGCAAGCGAGCAAGCACAGCAAGGGATGCCTCGGCGAGGTTGCACCACGTGCAAGAATGAGAGTGGCTCTGCGGAATCAGGCACTGCTGTGCCCCCAAAGGTCCCTTTCGGCCTCTGTGAAGAGGACGTGCAGGTAAGGATCAGCCCCACTGCAAAATCGTGCTGACCCTGAACATGAGGCACCCACCTCATTACCTGCCACCAAGTGACACCCCCCCCCATTAGAATTGTGTCCTCCTTTCGTCATACCTGCCCCAGTCCGGGCCATGGACAGCCAAGCCGTGTGGCCGAGGGTGACGCGCCAACCGAGGGCGTGTGTCCGGCTGCCACTCTGGCAGCCACCCCCCCCGGCCCCCACAGGGAGGGCCCTTTCTCCAGGGAGGGGCTCTGGGGTGGGGAGAGGAAGGCAGGGAGCGAACGGCTGCAGGTTTTGCTGAAAGCTGGAATGGCCAGAGACCTCAGCCGGGGAAGGAGGACTATGCAGTCCAGTGCCCGGGAAACGGGAGAATTGGCTGGCTGCAGTGCACGGGAAGCATGCATTTCCAGAGGAGCAGTGGGGATTCTGCTGCCAGGCTATGCCCCTGTGAAGGAGTGTGTGTGTGTGTGTCGTTGCGCACAAACTCCGAGCCACATCGGGAGGTGCAGGTCCCTTCTGGAAGGGAGGGTGGGGCCTGCCCTGGCTGCCCCGAGCTACCAAGGCATTTTGCTGCCCCCAGTGATGGCGGCCTCCAGGAAGTGTGCCAGGCCCCTCCAGGCAGGGGCTGCACTGGGGCGTCCAGTGTGACGTCACTGCTGAGGCAGAGCGGCTCAGCCAGGGCAGGCCACCAGCTCCGCGCTGAGCCCCCGCGTGGGGCAGCAGGGTCAGCCCCAAGGAGCCCTGCAGAGGCGAGCAGAGCGTGCAAGCGGGAGTTTGGTGGGCAGGCGGGTTCTGACTCAAAGCCTCTGCCTTCCCCGTCCTGGAGGGCTGTGGGAGTCAGCCCGAGGCATCGGCAGGTGGGTTGCCAGGTGGGGGAAGAGTTTACGCAGGTTACCAGGGGCACGCAAAGGACCCCTGGGTCAGCTCTCTGGCTGTCCGGTTCAAAACAGATCTTGGGCAGCAGAAGGCTCCCCCTGCTCTGGCCAGGCAGTGCAGGCCCGGTCCTGAAGGCTGGGTCCAGTCGAAGGCTGCTTTTCCTGGGCCTCGTTTTCAGTTCGTTGTTCTTTCGCCTAGCTCCTCAGATTAACCACCAATTGTTTCTGGAAACAATTTGGAACAAGGAGTTGTGGGCATTTCAGAGGGCATTTGGCTCACTGTAATGCCAGACTAGAGCTAATGGGGTTGGGAAGGTTTTCCAGCTGGGCCGGAAGTGGCAGCTCTCATTTCAGAAACGGTGTCGCCCTTCCCGGTTGCGCAGGACAGGGACGGAAAGAAACAAGCCACTGAGTGAGACAGTTTAGCGCTTGGAGGATGGTTACATTGCCAGCTGACAGGGGACACATCCGAGTCTCTCCGCTCCCCCCACCGCCCCCCGAATGTGAGACGCATTCCCCGACCACTGGCTGAGCCTTCAGCCGGTCCCGGGCCAGGCTCAGAGCTGCTCGTAGAGACTCCGGCTCTCCTCTTCTGAGAGGCTCAGCACCTCTTGGAACTGGGAGATCACGCGCCCGAAGTGGGATCCCTCCCAGAACACCTTCCCGCACTGGCTGCAGCAGTAGAAGACCGCCAAGTCCTCCCGGGAGAGTATCCCTGCGGGGACGGCCTCGAACTTCAGCGGCATGCCGCTGGGCAGCAGCGCCGACTCCGTGTCCAGGCTGGACTGCTCCAGCCACTGGATGTTTCGCGTGTCCACGGGCGGCTGGGGGGCGAGCGCGAGGGTCCCCGCCTCCGGGCCTGCGCCAGCGTTCTCTGCCGATCCTTCTGCGGAAGAAACAGAAAGCTCTTTCAGCTCTTTCCTGGGGCTGCCGGTTCCTTTACCAGCCCGCCGGGGAGCCACCCGTCCCGGCAGGCGAGGCCTCCTGTGCCGGCCCGGCCTGGCTCCTTCTCGGCAGCCTCTATGGGTGCGGCGGTGGCGGCAAGGCACCCTGCCGGCAGAGGAGGCGGACGCTCCCTGGACGACGGGCGGGCCTCCTGCCCATTGCCTCGATCGATCGGAGGGAGCAGGGAAGCTCTGGCAGGAGACCGGGCAGAGGTGCGACCGGGCAGCCTCCTCTGAGGGCACGGGCGGCTCGGGGCCTCTGGGAAACCTGCGGCCACTTGATGGACTTCCTCTCATGGTGCGCAGACTGGAGGTGCGCAGAAAAGGCTCACCAGATGGGTCCAGATGTGTGGGGCGCGATGGCCTCTGCCTAATGCGGGATGCTGAGGATGGGAGCATTTCGCGGGGTGGGACGGGCCTCATGCCGCGTCCCCTGCCGGAGGAGGTGCTCCTGCCTGCTGGGCACTGCGAGAGAATCCCCCCCCCCCCCAAGGGGAGGCCCCTTCTGCACTTCCCCAGCGCTGCTCCCCTTCCCTTTGTCTCTCGGGAGCGGCGAGAGGCGGCTGCTTTGCAAGGGGATCCTGGCTGGCACTCTGCGCACGGGCCTCAGGTTGGCCTTTTCCAACGGGCGGGCAGGCCCTTTGAAATCGTTTGAAAAGAGGTCCCTCCAGGGACAGGGAGAGGGGCTCGCGTGTGCATCTCTGGTGTGGGGGATGGACAGAGCTTTACAAGCGCCTCATTCAGATGCTTCTTTCTCGATAAACTCCTGAAAACACACACAGAGACCCTGGGGTATCGGGTGGTACAAAGATAAAATAACATTGTTGCGGTTGTTGTTGTTGTTTGTGGTTGTCGCTGTTGTTGTGATTCTTTGAAGTGCCACAGCGGAGAGGCTGGGCTAAATGCTTTCTGGATATCCTGGCTTTTCTCCCCTGCCAGCCTTAAAAACCAAACCAAACCAAACCACGGTGGCTATATACGTTCCTTCCTCCGCCCTCTACTTGCAGGGCATTGCCTCTGCTGAAGCTCAATAAAACACACTGCTTTAAAAGATGCATACGATATCGCATTATGACGGAGTTCAGAGTCAGATTTGCAATTTAGCGTCACAATTGTTTCAAAGCAAGGCGTTCACAAATGAGCTGATGAGATCTCAGAAGCTGGAAAATGTAGGCAAGGAGACTTTTTCACTCTTTCCCACAATGCTGGCACCAGGTGCGGGTTGTCCATGAGGGTGAATGATGCACACACAGAGAGAAATATTTCTTCGGGCAGTGCAGAGTTAAACCAGACTGGCCTTGGCCACCGCAAGATGTAGTGATGGCTAGCAATACGGATGCTTTTACAAGGGGACCGGGCACAGTCCCGCAGGAGAAGGCTGCCCTTCCTACTGTTTCGGTCTCGGAGGCAGTGCGCTGGGGAAGATGCGTGGGAGAACGCCCCGCTCGAGAGCTTCTCTTTGCAGCAGCTGTTGGCTGCTGGGCTGAGCGCTGGGCTGGGTGGGCCCTGGCTCTCTCCCAGCAGGACTTGTCTTGCGCTCTGTGACTGGCCTAGGAAGGAGCTGAGTTGCTTTTGTGATCTGCACAGCAAAGCACTCTTGTCACGGATACGGTATAAATTACGTTGCACGTGCATCTTTTATGTTACTTTTTACCTAAATTAAAACTGCTTTTTTTTTTAAACAAAGGTACTATCTTCAAGGATGTACAGAAAAAAAAAAACTAGATTCTGCAAACAGGATCGATTACGTAAATAAAGCCTTTCAGCACATATTTGTTTACAATTCACAGATTTTTCTCCTGTTTCTCCTGGTCAAGAGAGGTACAGAGTAGCCCCTGCACACGCACACCCAGTTTGGGCTTCTAAAATGTCACTAAGTACAGCTATATTCGCAACCCGGCGTTTGTACCAATAAGGGCTAGTAATGCAGGAGGAGAGAGATCGCCCGGGTGTGCTTTCCTGGTGGACTTTGACTGGAGATACCGAGAGAGGGAGGGCTGGTGGATCGTCACCCTTTACCCAAGTTTTAAAGATACACCCTGGGAGCCTTCTTAGAGTACAAAGGTTCCTGAGAACCTTTCCTTGGCGAGAGATCACACCTGATAAGAGACGTTATGAGCCTGAGAAAGTAAGTCCGGGGCCTCCTTGCAGGGCAGAAGGTTCCAGATCCCCGGATTATCTTCCCCCTTCCGATAAGGGCAGTACACAGGGCAAGGGCTCCGCGTGGCGCAAGCCCCGCCGGGCTCCAGGGAGGGGAGCCGCCCAAGCACCCTGCCACGTGCCCGGGGGCCTGCTTGTGCGCTGCACCCGCAGCGGCCCCCCGCAGACGGCTTGCCAGAGCCAGAAGCCCACCTGCGCTTGGCGGGTCTGCAAAGCGGGCCGACACAGACAGACGCCTCTGCAAAAGCCCCCCTACCATCCCGAGGGAGATGCTCTCGAGCTCCATGGGCAGGGAGGCACCGGGGCACATGGGCTCGCCGAGCCTCAGAGCAGGGTGGGCCGCAGGGGAGGCGGCCAGGGGGCCGAAAAGGCTCCCACTGTGCACATTTCGGCAGGGAAAAGGGTCTACAACTCACAGCCTTTAGGACCGCACCCTCGGTCATAGTGAGAGAGAACCGCGGGGGCCAACAGCGAGCTCTCCCTCCGGCGCCCGATCCACCGGGTGGCCAAAGCAGCCCTGTCTGCACACAAGAGGAAGCTGCTGGCCAGTCCGAGTGAACCGCAGAGCAGCAGAAGCACAACCCCTCCACCCCCCGCGACACACAAAGTGAGGCAGGGACTCCAGAACAGCCCAGTGAGGAGCGGAGACTGCACCTTGATGAACGGAATGGCAGGTGCGTGCGCGTGTCGAGGTGCGTGTGGGTGTGTGACGGGGTCGGAGTGTCCTCTTAAAAGGGGCGGCTGGGTGACACATCTGCAGTTCAACCTTTTGCCACCCGGTTCTCATCGGAAGAACCCCTTGAGGGAGGCCCCTGCAGCTCCCCGGAATCACAGACGGCAAGGCGGAGATCGAAGAACGCCTGGCACAGCGCGGGGGGCGCATGACCTGGGGACCGCCTCATCTTCATACTCTCGGCCGCTCAGCCGACACACTACACCACCCATCTTCCTCTCTCGCACTTGAACGAACTGTACGCACGGCTATCGCCTGGGGGGGGGGCAAGCTGCCAGGATGTCAGGCCCCCCACCAGTTCCTCCACTGCTCTGCAGAACCTGAGCACTGGCAGCCCGCAGCGAGCGGCTGCAGGAGCGCCGGGTGAGTGTGCAAGCAGGCGGCCAGAGCAGACGGGCCGCCGGCCCGGCCCGGCCCGGCACTCTTATCTGGCGGCCACCTCCCCCCGCCCACCCCGCCATCGCAGCTATCGCAAGCGCCCTGCATCTTCACACGTGCCTGTCCGGCAGGGCAGAGCCCTCTTCGCCCTGCTGCCAGCCTTTCCCCCCTCGCCAGCCCAGCCCGGCCCGGCGCAGGAGCAGGAGCCGCTTGCCTCAGGACCACCGAGTCAGGATTCCCAACCATAGGCAGATCTGTTAGGGCTTGTTCGCGATTCCTGGCCAAAGAATGAGACGCATGGGTCCCAGAAAGGAAAAAGAGGGGCGGGGGATGTTCCCAAACCCTGGGAAAGCATGCACACAGCCTTAGGTTAAACATTCAAATGAGTAATTATACAGCGATTAATTGTCCTTTAATAACATGCAAGCTCAGTTATAATGATGATAAAAAAGGGGGTGATGGAAAGAACGGGCGCGGGAAAAGCAGGGCTGGGCCGGGTTCCAGCAGAAGCAACGGCTTCCCTCGTGCCCGTGGGGCTGCGCAGATCCCGAGGAGGAACGCCACTCCGCGGCTCTGGGCAAACTGTGCCCCAGGTTTACCTCACAGGGTTGTTGTCACAATAAACACCAAAGGAAGTGCAGAGCTTAAAAATAAATTAACTGCAGTGGAGATGCGAGGAAGCCGAGGCTGCGGTACCCTGGTCGCTTGTGACAGTTCCTGCCCACCACACGGCCACCCCCCTGGACCCTCCGGCCGAACTATGAGGAAGACCTGCCATTCTGCAGGCTGCCCCGGAGCTCTGGGCCCCCACCAAGCCGCGCTTCCTCTTTCTCTGGGGCACAGCTGACCCGGCTGCCTTGGGGGCAGAGGGCCTGGGGCGAGATCCTCCCCATCACTGGGGGAGCCGCGAAGGAGCCTCCGTGCCAGCAGGGAGCAGCTCTGAGACCAGCGGGGTGGCCACAGTGTGGAGGAGGCCTGCGGCCACATGGGCAAGGCCCTGGCTGTGTCCCCAGCAAGGTTCCTCAACCGGGCATTGTTCCTCGGCCTGCTGGGGGATGCTGGGAGTCGCAGTCCAGCAGGCCGAGGGAACGCCAGGCTGGGGCCGGCGGCCCACAGGCGCTGGCCCTGCTGGCAGAGCGGAAGGCCTCTTCGCGCTAGAGCCAAGCTGAGGCGCCGGCGCTGGGAACGCACGTCCTGTCGCCCTGTGCCCACCACCCTGCGCCAGAGAGGGCTGGGGCAGCCTTTGGCACCATGACCTTGCCCCACACAGGTGGGGCGATTCAGCCAGTGCGGCCCGCTGTGCCGAGGGCGGGCGAGGGGTGGTCCTTCGCGACCAACCACCTTCCCTGCTTTGACCCCGGGGGGCTCTTTGCTCCTGCTGTTGTTCCCAAGCGCCACACACAAAGAAGTTTTGTCTTTTTTCTCTCTTTCTTTTTTCCCTGGGAAAAAGGGAGAGAGAGAAATGTGGAAAGCAAAGCCTCTTTCTTTCCCAACCCCTCTTCTGTGAGAAACCTGTCCAACCAGCTGGGTTAGTCATGGCAGCAGGCAGCTCTCACAAAGAAAAAGCTGAAGGGGAAAGTCTGTAAAACACAACCACTTTCCCTTCTAGTTGGGGGCAGAAGGAAAAAGACAAAATCTTCCATCGGTCTATTTTTGTTAAAAGCTCTCACTGGAGGCTGACGTTTTCTGATGGCAGCAGAGAAAAGGGTCTGCCCCAGACGTCGGGAGATCCAAAATACAGTTAAGCCCAGGATGCTGGAGGCCGTTTAGCCATGCTGTTAAGACAGCCGGTCACCCGACATTTAATTGCAGACATTTTAAGTCCAGCATCTTTACTTTAGAGGGTCTCCCTTTTTTGTCTTACAATGGGAATGTTTTCATTTGTCGGTTTTTAATCTGTATGAATATGTAAAATAATGTTTGTCTTGATCTGTGGGGAGAAATTTAAAATAAAACTGCCAAGCACTGGCCATTTAGTGCCTTTTCATTCACTGGCCAGCACACTGGAAGGCGAAAGTAAGATTAGCAAGAGGGTCGCATCCTGCCTTGTGCCCCCACAAATAAAGGGCAAGAACTGCCTTGCATCTGCTTTAACGGGAAATAAAAACAGGCAAAACTGTTCTTCAGCAGAACTTCCTTCTCTGTATCAGAAGAAAAAACACCAGAGCCAACCATTCCCTTCGGCAAAACGACACCCTTTTCCTCCAGACTGATTCACTGAGGCAGTGCGGTGTAGTGGCTAAGGCTGTGGGACTGGGAATCAGCCTCGGAGGGAGTGAGTGCCTGTGAAGACCTCTAAAACCTGGCCTTGACCCCTCTTATGACTAACACACTCTGAATCCTTCCTCTGCATTCATAAGGACTAGAAACATCCCTTTAAGTGTTTTAAGCGACCACTGAAATGTATATCCTGCATCAGTGCCTGAACCTGAGCAGCAGCACTGCCTCAACTCTGGATATGTTCTTGAAGCCCCTGACCAAGCTCCCGGCTTACCTGTTGCCGCATCTTCCCCAGTCAAACAGCCTCTCCGCTTCACCAGCTCCAGCATCTTCTCCCTTGAGATCTTCAGGTACTGGTTGCAGTTGCAAACCTGTCCAGAGAAAGAGAAAGGCTGCTACCCACGATGCTGATGCTGCCCGGACCTGTTTCCCCACGCTGCCCGGGCCCTCTGCTGCTTCCCCCCAGGGCCGTCATGCCTGAAGAAGGCTAAGGGAAAGGGCAGCCTCTGCGTCCCCCACCCCACTTCGCTGCTGGGGCAGATATGCCAACACTTAAGGGGTCTGCCAGGCCTTCTCCCGTGCCGGCTGCACAGGTGCAGCAGCTCCCTCCTCTCTGCCCCGAACACACTGACTGCGGGAGGCTCTCCCTGCCAGCTCTGTCTTGCCAGTTGGAACCTCTCTGCTGAACGGGAGGCGCTGCAGCCTGCGAGGGACCCCGCCGATCTCTGAGAATGCAAGGGGAGCAACGGGTCTGCAGTGGCCGCCCAGGCGCCCCCGGGCCATCCATGAGCACCCCTCCTGCCCCCCGGGGAGTGGAGTGCAGCAGCACCGTGGCGCTGGGCATGGAGGCTCTGCCCAGCCCAGCCACCTGGGGGTTCGCCGAGTCCCAGCAGCAGCCCCTCCTTCGCTCACCCTCCTCGGAGGAGGGAGGGAGGGAGGGGTCCAGGGATGAGCGGCAGGAACCCTTCTCTGTCCACCACCTGCTGCCCACACTCCACCCACCGGTCTGCACCTCGTCCGGCAGAGACGAGACCTGCAGGGACCACAGCAAGGCATCCCTCGAGTCCAGGCACCTGACACCCTCAGGAAGCCCGTGCAGGTCACGCCCAGCCTGCGGCGTTCGCAGGCCGACGACGAGGGTCCGGGCTCCACAGGCCCCCACTACGGGGGGGGGGGAGGCTCTCCTCCCATCTGTCAAATCCCTTTTTAAAACCACCGAAGTGACTGTGGCCTTCGCACAGTGCGAAGGGGCCCTTCCTTTGATCTGCCCCAGATCTCTCAGCAAGCGGCTTCATGGCGTGTCCCCGTGTGGCTCTGGCATGAGGGGAGAGAGAAAAACGTGGCCGCTCGTCCTTTTCTACCCCGTACCCATTTATACTGTTCTTACGAATGCAAATACGCCTGCACACGCGCACACACGTTTCTGGCCCCTTCCAGAAATGGCACCAAGGCTTTGTCGAAGCAGTCCAGGAAAAGAAACAATAATCAGGACATCAAAGCCACTGTACTGAAACATTGAACTGGCACAGAACAACATGCGCTTGCCACTGGCCTGCTTTTTCCTAAATTCAGCAGGATCCTGATGCTTTGGCCTTTGCTTCGAGGGTGCGGATTTCAGCTCTGAGTACTTCGTTCACCCTTTCATGCCCCTTTCGCAGCTCCATGAGGCCCCTTTTGAAGCCCAGGAACTTATAGTTCCTGACCGCAGTCAGACTTGTCCAGATTTCAGGGAGCCAACCAACCAACACCACCAGCTGGGGCCCCCCCTGCCCAAACCCTGAAATTAGCAAATCAGACCCCTCAGTGCCCCTCGCTTGGGATTTCCGAGTGAAACGCTTGCGGGAGCCGGGTCTGGGCCAGCCCTGCGCAGCGCTTCAGCCGCCGTGTGTAAGCGGGCCGAGACCCCTCCATGCCGGGTTTCTGGACTGGGCCGCTGCTGCGCACACGGGCCCGGCTGGTGGAGTGCGGCCGAGAATGACTGCGCAAGGATATGGAGCGGTGGCGGCAATTTCGAGCTCCGGGCTGGGAATATCCCAGAAGCCAGAGGAATCCTCTAGCGCGGATGAGTCACATATTCTGCTCTGCACATTCTCCTATCCAGTTTAGCCATCGTACAAGGTTTGCTCAGAGATCAGGCAGCTCAGGTCCCATATCTTGCTGCTTATCTTGCTGCTTATCTTGCTGCTTATCTTGCAGGAATGTGGCTTTAACCTTACAGCTCAGGTCCTGCAGAGGCTCCTTTGAAAGAGCCTGCAAAGGAGCGGCACTACCAGCCCTCTAAAAGGAGGAGTGACCCAGGAATGTTTGCATGGAGAGTCCTGCTGGGTAAGACCAAGGTCTTCCTAGTCCATCTTCCTGTTCAGGCAGTGGCCTGCCAGCTTCCCCAGTGGGAAACACACCACAGGCAGGAAAGGAGGGCAGCTCCCCGCACCCCACCATGCTCCCCAGCAACTGATGGGAACAAGCGTATGCCCTTTGCTATTGGAGGAGCACAGACCCTTCCGGATTAGTAGCCACTGACCACCAGCCTTGTCCTTGAGAATCGGCCCACTCTTCTCAGTCAAGCTGGTGGCTACAGCTGGGATTCTGCAGTTTGACTCTGCCCCATGGAGGGAAGGACCTTACTCAGCGTTCTTCGTAAACTATTCAATCTTTCATCATGGGGGAATTATTCCAGCCCCTCAATCACCTGGCGCACACCGTATCCAACTCTAAAATATCCCTACAGAAAGAAACACGTCACCGATTTTTCTTGAAAGAAAGGGGGAAAGGGATGCCACATATGGAAGCCGCACCTTTCTAGCCCCCAAAGTCATGGCATTTGTGCCGCTGATAAGAGAAGCGTGTTTTGCATGTCACAAACGTCTTTACTGCCCCCAAACGGAGCCTTTTCCCCCCTAGGTCAGCCCTGCCTCCCCTCAGAATTTCTAGTCAGGTTCACCTGGATGCGAGAGGGGGCTTCCTCCCCTGACCCACATAAAGCAGTTGCTCCCTGAAGCACTGCAAAGCGGGGAGAAGATATGGAGCAAGCCCTCCTTTGGACGAGTGTCCGCAAAGATGACAAGATGGATGCTCCACTTGCAACCAGCCATTCGCGGTTTAGACGGCATGCCTGACAGGCGTTCGGGTGGCCTGTGCCGAGCCTTGAGCCCTTGGCACGGAGCGCTTTCCCTTGTGGCCTTGCAGGGTTGCATGCCGCACGCGCCAAGGCCAGAGTTCACCCACCGGTCTCAGCCTGCCTTCTCCTTTCAGCCGAGCCTCCCCACCCAAAGTCCATCGTACTTATCATTCTCCCTGCCTCTCTCTCATGACAAGTGCTTGCGACCCGTCTCTCGTTGTACGCAAGCATCCTTTTAGCATATGGCAAACGCTCAGAGGCATGCTTTTTCCTGGTCACCATCACAGCAGGCCTGAAAGGTAGGCTAGGGCAGCCTTCCCCAAGCAGAAGAAGTTCCCTTCTGGCTGTGGGGTCCTGGGAGTGCTCGCCAAACCCCCTGGGGTGTGTCAGGTTGGGGAAAGCTGGGCCAGGAGCAGTCACAGAATCACAGCATAGTTGAGGAGCAAGGGGTCCGTGAGGCCATCCAGCCCAACCCCATGCTCAGAGCAGGACTCCAAGTTAAACTGCTCTTCTCAGATGGCTGCTTCTCGGCAGAGTACAGCCAGGATGATACTGGCATGGGACCCACACCCCGGAGCACCACTGGCAAATATATTAATGTGCAGCATCATTATATCTATTATTAATACTTCAAAGACAATACAAATGACCACCCATAGCACACCCAGTTTATCCACTATATAGATTGAAAAACCAAAACCCTTTTGAAGGCTTTGTAGACTCCAATATTGTGAATATTACTAAGTGGTGCTCCCTGGGTGCAGTGGGGAGAGGATCCGTGAGAATGACTTGGATTTTTTCTCTCGGTTGAACCCGTCGCACTCAGATTGCAGGAGAGCGCGCGCACCCAGGAGAGTTGGTAGCGCTTCAGCTGGAGCCAAGCTCTCTGTGAATGCTTTCTAGCGCGTGTAATGAGGATGACGCAGCCTCTGCTGTTCCGATGAGAAAATCTCCGGGAGGGCTGGGCCAGCACCAGTGGCCCTGGCAACATGACCCATGCGCAGCCAATGGGCTGGGTGCGGGGGGGGGGGGCGTCCTGGACTTCCACGGCATCCTGCCGGGCCGTTCTTCAGGTGTGGCCGAAGCCAGCCTGCAAGAGCTTGTCAATCAAGAGCTGTCCGAGCAGCTTCGGCAGTGGGGAAAATGCATGCGGCTCTGAGGGCAAGCGGCAGCTCCCTGCGGCCCTGGAGAGACACCTGCTGGAGCTTGCCGAGGAGGAAAGGGGCGGGAACGTGGGAACTGGATGCGGCGCAGCAGCACCTGTGACCTGCGAGGGGGAAGCCTGCTCTGGGGGGCACGGAGGCTCAGCGCAACGGCAGGCACACTCCCGGAAAATATCCTGCCGTTCCCGAGCGGGTGCTGACCGCAGTGCGCCCCTCGCGGAGCCGGGCGGGTGGGAGGAGCAGCGTGAGGGGGTCCCGGCATCTGACTGCTGCGTCAGGAAGAGCCGCGCTGTGCAGGCTCCGTGGCACACGCTGGTGACGCCCGTTCCACTGGGAGAGGAGAGGAGGCACATGGGGCCCTCAGAGCCGGTCCGCTGGCTGCTGGGCACCTTATTCAAAACGCTCCCCTCATGAGCAATCAGCAGGCAGGACCCACAGACTTCCCCACATTATCTGTGCAGCCATCAGGGCTAGAGACTTGATTTCTGTTTTTAAAGAAAGCTGAGATGCTTGGGAAACCGGTTTCTATGCCTTGCTTCCTCAAACGGCTGCTGGGGAGAGTGCAGGGCCACCTGGCCAGCCACCGCTAGAACCAGAACGGGGTCGTCACCTCGGTCCGGCCAGGCACGTCGAGCAGGAACGCAGAGCCCCGACGGAGCCCCTCCTGCCCTCCTGCCGCTCCCAGCTCCATGAGCGCGGCCGTGGGAACAGGGCCTGGGCCGCTGCTGGGCCCTGTCCAGGGTTGCTCTGGGAGGGTGGCAGCCAAGCTCCGTTTCTCAGGAGGCAGTGAAAAGCCCGTCTGGGATCTGGCAGTGACTCAGGGTGTGCTGGCAAGGTTTGCCTGAGCGTGGGAACTGCTGAAGGCGGCCTCCTCCCGCCCCCCCCGCTGCCCCGGGCGTGCTCACCTGGGCCACGGCTCCCAAGCCAGGGACTGCCTCTGGCCGCTCCGCTTCCTTCAAAACCCCTGCCTGCCCCCCCCCGCGCCCCCAGCACGCCACGCACGCCACTGCACCGCCTCGGACGGACCCAGCCTGGGCACCACTCCTGGGCTCCCTCCGGCCAGTGGTGTGTACCGAACGAGGCAGGCCAG